CCACATTTAACTACGCTAAACAATTACATCTATTATCCTTTAACTACTAGTGTATAACAATCCAGCAGGCATATTTCAGGATCCAGCAAACTGGCAGTTTTATTCCATTTTTCAAGCTCGGAATTACAGTAGAGATTCAATTGTGTACCTGAATTTGAAATAGAACAGGAAGCACGAGAGGTCAGCAGCAGAATAACAGAATCAGCAGCCCAGGAAGATTTCAAAACCAAATAGCACCAATATAACCCAGCAATAAACAGTAACACTAACACACTTGATGAATGATATCAACAGCAGCAGTAACAACCAAAGCAGACTCAATTGAACTTGAATACACNTACCTCCTCCGAAGACTACAGTTTCCTTTTCAAGCATGTTGTGCCTGTGTCCTGTGCAACAAAATTATCAATGGTTGTATTAACTTAAAAACAAGAAAGTAAAAAAGATTAACTATAAGTTATTTATTATCAAGGTTCATACAGAAGTCTTAACTAAATTTCACATTCTCTTTCCATTGCAAGGTCAAATCAAGTTTTCCCAGTAAAGATAACTATTAGCACTACGAAAGAAAAAATCCAAGGATTCCTAGCAGCACTAATGAGCAAATTGAACTCTTAACCGTTCTGCTTCAGTGTACACAATGATTTCCCTACATCCTCAGAGACCAAGTTGTGTTTTACAATTGATCTACAAGAGCAACTTCACTAAATGGGAAATCTGAGGCCTAACAACAATAAGGAATACATATTTGCTAATAAAAAGCTAAATCTTTGTCCGTTCCAAGAAAAGAGTCCCCTATTATAACTGAACAGCAGAGGTTATTCATGAACAAAGAATAAAAATCACGTTTGCTGCATATGTTTTCTATTAAAATAGATATTTTCTGTTCTCCCACCAGTGGAATATGCGCTATATTTTGAGTTAAATTTTTATTTGTGTAATATTTGAGGACAGCGTCTTTCACGCATTACAAACACACATGATAAAACATATAGACTATTTTGAGTTAAATTTGTAATAGGTGTAATATTTGAGGACAAAGTCTTTCACGTTACAAACACACATAATAAAATAATAGACAAGTCGAATAGGGAAGATAAAACACAAAATGGTGATATGTTGAAAATTAAAAGATAAATACACTCAAAAAACAAACAAAACATAAGATACCAAAGACAGAACAAAGGCAATTTGCGGTATCTTTGGACTACTTGAAATATTAAAATTATCCTCCTACATCTAAAGCAATGTTAAACTCTACTGTTAGAGAATCGGAAGGAATCTCTGTTTTTTCGATTAATAAATAGAATTTTCTAAAAATGAAGTATCTCCACAATGAAAAACAAAAATGCATAAAATGTGAAAAACAAATACTATAGTTTAACCTATCTACAGTAATCTAGAGTACAACGTATCTGCACAAGCGAAACACGAATTGATTTATAAAAAAATTTCCCAGGCAAATAAGCATTCGGAGCAGCTAATTACAATCTTAAGTGTCAAAAAGCACAAGTCTCCTAACGGGGTATCTGAAATAAAAATTGTGGACTTACTCTTAAAAAGATGAGTCAGGCATATCATCTCTTTGGGTGCATAGTCCATTTCAATGATTATTATTATTAATGATCACATTATGAAACAGGAAAAAACAGAGAGATTGAAACTCAAGCTGGAAAAGCAATCATACCATGCGTATATTGGCAGTAACCACAGATCAGCCCATCCTCTCTCTCTTGTTGTTCATCTCCAATTTCAAAATGCATCTTTAGATAGGTTAATCTGCAGAAAAAAAGAAGCGTAAATCAAGAGTCACAATCTTCGAACGAACTTTGATACTAATTTTTTTTGATAAGACCGTTTAATCCTGAACTGATTAATTAGTAGCAAAAGACAAATTTTCATCAAAAACCCATAATAAATGAGCAAATCAGGAATAATTACTGACATGTATGTAGAAAATCTTGAAAGAATTATGCAAAACCGAAGAAAGCAAACATTCACCAACCAAAATTTGGTTTATCAATAGAAGAAGTGCAAAAAATAAAGAAAATTGCACAAACAACTAACTAAAATTAGAGAGCTCGCAGCAAATTCAAATAGAAAAAAGATGGATAAACTATTTGCAGAGGCCAACAGGAGAACACTGAGAGAAATCGAAAAGGGGGAAATTACGATAGAGCAGAGTAACGCAGATGAAAACAATGAGAAGGCTCTGCAGGTCATGGCGCTTACTCAGTAATTTTTAGGCTAAGGATATAATAGCAGGGCAGGGCTAACTAATAACTCTAGACATCAAAGAAAACATAATTTATTTTTTCACAGGCTTTCTTATTTCATGAACAACCAAGTTAAAAAGCTATGTTCTTCACTAAGAAAGAATCAAACTTTTAATTTCTTTTAAAAGAACCAAGTAGTTTTCTGCAGAGGAAATCATCGAATTGACCAAAATCATCGTTCTTTCATCCGTTGCCTCTTAGAGTTCTTACTTGAGTACTTTTGCTACAAACATCACAAATTCTCCATCAAATAGTGCACCTAAACCGTCAACAGTAACAATTACTGAAGCAGAAAGTGTCAAATAGGTGTAAATGACTTTAGAATTAGCATGCTAAATTATTTGGCCAAGTTTATTGACGATAGGCTATAAATGCATATTTTAGTCTATTATTACACTCGAATTTATTGCACTTTAATTGAGTTTGCGCTTTAATCGCTAGTGTTTTGCACTAATTGTGTGTTTTATGCCTTGTAGGTGTGATTCCGAGCTATATAGATGTTATGGAATGAATTTAAGTGATTTGAAGCTTTGAAGTCTGAGTAAAAGCTCAAGGAATTAAGTCGGGATCGTGTTCGGGGGTCAAATTTGCTAATTAAGTACGAACGAAGACTTGAGGAGGCATATTGCGCATTGTCTAGTAAAATAGACATAACTTTTTGCTCAGAACTCCATTTGGGCTCCACAATATATAGTTGGAAAGCTAACTCAAAGGGCTACAACTTTCATATTTTACATTTTTCCAAATTCCAAACGGAACATGGTAAAAAACTGCGGTTCCACCGCGACCGCGGTAGAACCGCGGTAAAAGATGGTCGCGGACAACTGAAGAATCAGAGGGCATGTTTGGCCGCGGTTCCATCGCGACCCCGGCAAAACCGCGGCAGGAGGAGGAAATTTCAGGGACTTATGTGCAAAATACGGGATTTTAAGCTCTAATATATTAAACCAAGGAAGCCGGCCAAGAAAGGGAGGGGGGGCATATTTTGGACAAAAATTAGACCTAAGGAGGCAAGAGACACTACTTTAGGGTTAGACAACACCCTTGGAGGCAAGAACACATTGGGAGCAAGGCGGAGAATTCTTCTACAAGTTTTTCCTTCCTCTTCCTATTTTTCATTGTTGGTTATGACTTTTAGTATTGTAGTTTTACGTAATATTATGAATAGCTAATTTGTTATCTAGAGTTTTGATAGAACCTTTTGTAGGATAAATTCTTGTTATGTTTTTATATAATTGAGCCATAGCTTTTCTCTATTCGTTCAACTACGTTTATATTCTGGTTGATTGAAGAGCTCTCAATTAGCTGTGCCTATTTAGTATGCATAACTCGGGAGAGAGTGCATATATAGGTAATTGTTGAACAACACCACTCCCAAAGTATATGAGGGATCAATAACCGAGAGTTTAAAGGCGGGATTAGGGATAACGAAGCCTTGGGTGCGATATGAAGTGAGTTGTATTAAAAGCCAGCTAGCGTAGCTTGGGAGAGTGCGTCTAGTAAATTGTCGTAATTAATCGGGAGAGATTTACGGTAATAAGAGTGCTCATGATCGGTAGAGAATACTTAGGCGAAATTATAGAAGACATAGCGGGAAGGATTCCGACAATAGGGGAAATCATAACTCTAGACCTCCTTAATCTTTTCTCTAACCCTCAGTATCGTTAGTTGTTAATTTACTATTTTAATTTGTTAGTTAATTAGTTAAACACAAGAATCTTAATATCTATAAGTTAGGAATTGTTCAAGCTTGTCTTCTTGGTGATAGTGAACAGCTGTAGCTAAACCTTAGTTCTCTGTGGGATTCGACTCCGGACTTGTAAACCGGATTATATTTGCAACGACCGCATTGTCCTTTTTATAAGGCATAGTTGGGCGTGATCATTTATGTAATTCTGCAAGTTCTTAAAGGAAAAGATGTATTTTATTAGAGCATCTGCTGAACTACAGGTAAATTATTTAAAACATGCAGCCGAACCCTTTTTATTCTAATATTTTATCGACAAAAGCACAAATCTTTTTAAAAGTAGAATTATCATTATGCTTTGAGGTTTTAAAGTATAAAACTTCATTGATTGCATAAATCAAACGCAGCAGAAAAACAAAAGAAAAATATGGAATCGAATTAGTATGAACTAAACTCACCCCGGAAGCACAATTCATTAAAGAATTTTCTCAAACACTTAGAGAACAAAAGCCTTGGCATGTTAAATTTCTATACACAGAAGCCTAATTCTTCAAGAAACGCAAATTTCTAACATGCCATCAAAGATGAAAGAAGCACAAGATAAGGACTAGCGTACACACCAGAAAATAACAGTCTAGCAAGGAAAAATCATTGAAGTGCAATTAACAACAACAAAAAAAACAACAACAACAGCCAGAGAGCAGAGATTACAAATGTAAAAAATGGAACTCCACGCGTTGAGCAACAAAGAAACCCAAGCGCCGATCATAATCTAGGCGGCTACTTTGCTGCTGTCAGTGTTAGGGTGCCTACAGGTGTTCTAAAAGAAAATAAAGACTAAACCTGAAATGACCAGAATACCCTTTAGCAGGAAGCACACATGACGACCTCAAGCTGCTTCTCCCGCTCCCGCTCTTCTATATATTAATAATTATTTATTAAGAAACTCTTTTTCATTTAGTAACATCAATAGAAGTGATTCTCTCAATACATTATTGTAAAAAAAAAAAAAAAAAAAAAAAAAAAAAAAAAAAAAAAAAGAGCCCCCAAATTTTGCATGACAAGCTTTATTCCACATACAGAATCTTAAAAGTTTATAATCAATTCGATAGATATTCATTTAGCAGCAGCCGCAGCTTGTACTTTAGCTTTAAAAAAACCAAACATCATATCTCTATCAGGAAGGTTTTCCTTAACTTCACTACAGCTGAGGTACTCATCTCTCCAAGCACACAAATGGGGAAACTTTTCACTTGTCACTAACACAACCCCTGTTGCTTCTTCTACAATTTCCAGCCAAAATGGTATGTAATTTGCAGCTACATCAACAAATCCAATTTTGTCTCCCCCAAAAAATTTCTTGTCCTTAAGTTCATTGTCAACAATTTTCAGCATCTCATAAGCTTCTTGTTGTATGCTCTGCTCTTCCTCCTTTCCTTTGCTCCACAATGCTTTCCCCACTGCTTCCAAACACTGAAAGCATAAAGCAAAGCTAACAATTTTTAGGACCAAAAGGATTTATTCCTTGTAATAATAAAGTTCTAACATAATTTTTTGTCACGTTAAAATAATTGAACTTTATCTACTATAACAGTTTTAATTTATAAGAACTATCTTTTGGTACAATTGAAAGTAACTGAACTAGCGTGAATTGCTCAAAGTATACAAATGACCGAAAGGTCAAAACTTTTGGCTCACAAAATTTAAAAAAATTAACCATATAAATATTTTGACAATCCTTCTTTTATAAAACAAAATACAATCAACAAACATTAAACAAAACAAAAAGAAAGAAGAAAATTATCCAGCATCAAAACTTTGACTTTTCAATCATTTGTATTTTTTAAGCATATCACGTACAATTCAGTTACTTTAATATATCAAAGAATAATTTTGTAAATTTCAATGATTATATGTGAAACTAACTCAATAAAAAAATAGAGGCACAGAATTATGGAAATAAACTCGCCTTTCCGTCAATGAACCTAGCCCAAAAACGTGCAGTGGCTCGTTCATAAGGGTCATTAGGCAAAATGGAAGGGCCATCAAAAGTCTCATCAATGTATTCAAGAATGACCATAGACTCACAAATGGGTTTTCCATTGTGAATTAGCACTGGGATTTTCTTAAGGACAGGATTGGATTGAAGAAGCAGAGGACTTTTGTTCTGTAGATCTTCTTCTATAAATTCATATTCCACGCCCTTAACTTTCAGAGCCCATTCAACTCTGCGACTATAAGAGCTACCACTAACACCAAGCAACCTAACTTCTCCCATTTTTTACAACTTTGTTTCTCGCTTAGCTTGGGTTCAAAGCTTACTTTGTTGAAGAATATGTATCTATTTTTTTTGAGGTGGTTTTAGTCCTCTTTTATATAGTGGGAGATTTAGAATAAATTTTTATTCTTGTCAACAAAGCAAAGCAAGTGCACCAAAATAACCTAGTTGCCTTGTTTGACGTTTGCGTTTGCACCGACGACTTATCTTGTACAACACAAAAGATATACTCCTACTCTCCCAATCTACGCATTTGATTGGACACAAAATTTATGGCAAAAAAGAAAAGGACATATTTTCAACTTTGTCGAATCTAAAATAAGCCAAAAATATTTGTATAACTATAAATCGTTTCGTTACGTGAAAAATGAAAATTTTAGAATTAATTTATTCATAAATAAAAAAATATGATAGTTTGAGATAAACAAAAAAAGATAATATGACACACAAATTAGGACGAAAGGTGCATTACAATACGTAGAAGTCAGAAGTACGTTGCGGTAAATACTTACCCACACCGGGTGTTTACACCAAACTATATTAACTCACTATGGTTAATTAATTTAATTAGATGAGAATGCATGTAATTTACTAATGGTTAAATAATTGAAGTCCATATGCAAGACACATGTCATATCTATTGGTTTGGTATAAACACCCGGTGCGGGTAAGTTTTTACCGTAGGGTGCTTTGACGTACATGCAATTTTTTTTTTTTTTTGGTTGGTATAATCATCCCTTATATTGTATTCATTAGCTTGACTAATAGGACCTATTAAAGCAAAGAAATGCTCCTTATAGAAATTTTCTTCGTTACCGAGTGTTTGAACACGAAGCCTCTCATTAGAAATTTCTTTTCTTGTAAAATCTCTTAAGTTCCATAACGTACGCTTGAGAGAATCTAAGGGTACGACAACAACAACCCAGTAAAATTTCACAGGTGTGGGGTATTGGGAGGGTAGTGTGTACGCAGACCTTACCCCTACTCCGATGGAGTAGAGAGTAGTATGTTTGAGTTTCCAGTCTTTGATTTCCATATTGAGTCTCTTAAGCTCATTCATCATTTTTTGAGACTCTTTTAAGGAGGAATCAAGAATGTCCTACAATTCATTACATCTTTCACAGTCATAAGATCTTGCCTCGCTAGTTTCTCCTCTTGCCATAAAACAGTTTTCATTGTCTGAATCATCTTCATCTGTCCAGCATCCTGAAGTTTTGTTGATCTCATTTTCTAGGATTGTCATGAAGCAGAGATTTGCTATTTCTTCATGGTCTGAGTCATCCTCATCGCTCCAGCTTCCAAATGATTTGTTCTTGTTTCCCATAGACCCTGGGCTCAAGAAAACGAAAAAGAGGAAAAGAGAGACAATATATCAGTATCATCAACAGAAACCATGGGAATAATAACATCATAAGAACCAGAAAATAGATGAAACACATAACAATAACCAGTAAAGAAAGCCCGGTGTTATGAAAAATAGAAGAATAGTGTGAACACCACATAAACCGCTGACAGTCTAAGACAAACCCCTATCAGACTAGCCTCTCATCCAGTACGAAGTAGAAAAATGCTCGACTACCTCCTAACCTACAACCTAATGTTCGACCTCCACACCTTTCTATTTAATACTACCTCCGTTTCAATTTATGTGAACCTATTTGACTAGGCATGAAGTTTAAGGAAAATTAAAGACTTTTGGAATTTGTGGTCCTAAACAAGTCAAAAAGGGGCCCAGAGTATATGTGTGGTTATAAAAGCTTCTCATTAAGGGTATGATTGTAAGTTTAAGTTAAATTGTTACCAAATTTAGAAAGGGATCATTCTTTTTGAAACAGACCCAAAAGGAAATAGGTTCACATAAACGGGAACAGAAGGGGGTAAACATTAGTCTTTTCAAGTCTTACATAACACTTAATTTGGCGCCAGGCATACAAAAACAAAATATAAGAAGAAATAGAACAGAAAATAGTAAAAATAGGAACCTTCAACCACTCCCTCATATTTTGGGACTTATGCTTATTATAAAAGTATTCGGTCAATATGGAAACATATAATTAGAAAATTGTATTCTCAAAGAGGAAACATTAAATCATTTACTTGGTTTTCTAAGAGACTTCATTGATTTCCTTCTATAAAAGAAGACCACACCGATCAAGAGAGAACCACCACTGAGAATTCCTTAACATAGTAAATTAGCAAAGAATTGAGAAACAAAGTTGTGATATGGCAGAAGTGAAGTTGCTAGGTTTTTGGTATAGTCCATTTACTCACAGAGTTAAGTGGGCTCTAAAGATAAAGGGCGTGAAATATGAATATATAGAAGAAGATCGAGCTAACAAGAGCTCTCTACTTCTTCAATCCAATCCTGTTTACAAAAAAGTCCCTGTTCTCATTCACAATGGAAAACCCATTTGTGAGTCTATGGTCATTCTTGAATACATTGATGAGACATTTGAAGGCCCTTCCATTTTGCCTAAAGACCCTTATGATCGAGCTATAGCTCGTTTCTGGGCTAAGTTCCTTGACGACAAGGTAAATTCTTATCTGCATAATTTAATAAACTTTTATTGGAGACTAAATTAATTTTGAACGTTTTATTCCATATATGATGGTTTAGTCATGTCATGTGTCAATGTTCAGATCTACATATCCGTAAGTGTGAAACCAATTATAGTGGAGGTGATAAAAAGGGACAAGATAGTATTAAAATCGTACGGGAAGAAGTTGCTTCAAAATACCTACAATATCAATGCAGATGTTACGGAAAAAAATATGGCACAATGAAACACAAGATCTCTATATAAGTTGTATCAACTAGTTGAGAATATGTTTTAGTGATGTTAGTACGTTTACTTGGGTTTTATATTTTCTAGGAATTTTTTATTCGTGTCATTTCTATATGTCAGAAAAAAATATAAAGAGCTTGGAATACTTTTAATAATTTTGTATAGCAGTAGTGCGGATTTAAATGGAGCCGACTCTAACTTACTTGTGATTGAGAGGTAGTGTTGTTGTTGTTGTTGTTGTTAAGTTAAGAGCGTTTTGCAGGTGACTGCAGTACCGAATATTTTCCTTCGCAAAGGGGAGGAGCAAGAGAAAGCTAAAGAGAAAGTTTGTGAGATGTTTAAAGTTCTTGACAATGAGCTCAAGCATAAGAAGTTCTTTGTGGGTGACAAATTTGGGTTTGCTGATATTGCTGCAAATTTGGTGGCATTTTGGCTAGGAGTTTTCGAAGATGCCTCTGGAGTTATTTTAGTGACAAGTGAAAAATTTCCAAATTTTTGTAAGTGGAGAGGTGAGTACATTAACTGCAGCCAAATCAAGGAATCTCTACCTCCTAGAGATGAGTTGCTTGCTTATTACCGAGCTCCTTCTAAAGCTGCAGCAGCTTCTACGTCCGCTCCCAAATGAACACATTCTCAATATTCATCTTATGAAGTTTCGAGATTATGTGTCAAAATAAAATTGCGAATCTAGGACGAGTTCTGTAGATTATGTATACGTATGCAAAAAAAAATTAAAATATATGTTTATATAAGATTAAGCTTCTTCAAAATTAATGACTCTAGATTCTGCTTCTCTTGATCCTAATAAAACTACTTGTTAGAAAAAGCTAGCTTAGTCCCAGCTAGTCACTTACAGGAAGTGTCTCGAGTTACTGTTTTAATTTGTTTGTTGGTCCGTTATTATACAATAAGTAATCACATAATTATTGATGAAACAGTGGGTGACATAAGCACATAAGTCACTCATTTGTATAGGTAAGCATCGATCTAAAATGATACTATCACTTATATGTAGTATACAAGTAAGCTTGCATAAAAAATGGAGTTTATATACTTTTCTTGATCGACTATATATATGGACAGCTTTAAATTTCAATAAATCTCAGAAAGTGAAGACCAATATTTATTCAAAATCCCAAAATAAGGTTTGCGAGATTGTAAAGCCCCGGAATGTTTTGCTAAGTATTATGTTCTCGCTCAAGCTCTAAGTTGGATACAAATGTGTATGAGAAGTTATGAAGGTATAAGATACACAAATCTTATGTTTAGAAAGTTGAATGGATAGTTATAAGATGAGAGGAGTAAATTGAAATACACTGAAGTGTTTAAGGGATAAAAATGACCTTAGCCGCACATGACCTAAGCAACGAGCATATCTATAGATATATAATGAATTAATATTTGATCTATATATCAAAAAAAAAACTTTAAAGTCTAGTTTCTAACCCTTCAAACCGTTCATGATTCGCTATATAAAGTTATAGGCGTTTTACTTAATACTATCTTATCACAAAAATTGCCCGCATTTTTGGCTCCCAGGAGTGCGCCAGGCGCCAATCGGAACGCCAAAATTAGGAATAATTGTATCTGGGTGTCGTGGGCAGCATTGGGCGCGGATTGTGACGCCGAAAGCGTGAAGTTGAAATAAAAGGGACACAAATAGCCTCATTCTTTAAATATTAAACCTCCCCTCTCATCCTCAAGTCATCCAAGGGTTCTCATACTACCTAAGGTGAGTTTTCAATGCGATTAACGTTAGAATACTACTTCCAAACATCAATTCTAACAATATTCCATCTCAAAATCGCTATATTCTCAACAAGAACTCAAGAACATGATCTCTCCGCTAACCTAGGGTTTCGTGTTCAAAGTAAGTTTCGTAATCGCTTTCAACCACAAGTGTTAGAGAGGTTTATGGTTGATATTTGTTCCTAGAAACTACTACAAATACTTAGATTAATGATAATTCCTAGAAGGAGAGAAGAATCAAACCAAATGTTTCTATATTTTGGAAATCTTGGAACTTCTAGTATTGATTATTAAATTAACTATGTATAGAATTGTTTGGTGAGTTGAACCCATTGGATTGGAGCATATGAAGGTATTCAAAAGCAAAGAATCAAGGTCAGTAGATACAATACTTTCACTAAAGTTGTCTTCTCACAAAAATCATGCCATAAGTATTTGTTAGACTGTATAGGACGTTAATGTGAGCTCTGACTGGAACGACTGAACTCACATTATCCATTAGAAAAGATCTTAGATGATTATCATGGTTAATAATTCAAGAATAGTATGTTGTTTCATAAATCATATCTCATGCATT